GCGATTTGGCCCGATATAATTAATGAGTACGGGGATAAAAAATCGCCATCCCAGTGTTGAATTACATAAACATTGATAAATCGCAGCGATTTTCATCCTTGGGATACAAACGAAGTAGTTATTGGGCCAACAAATATCATCATGTAAATTAGCCTACATTATTTACGTCAGGCCCCGTTTGTTCGAAGACTGCGCTATCCACGGGATAAATTGCTATCTAATGGATAAGTGTTAACTAAACAAACCGGGCTATTCGCTGGATAGTGATTTGTCCGGTGGATAGCGTTATCCACCTTTCGATCAACCTGGACAAGATGACAAAGTATAACAAGTAAATCAGTAAATCAGCGAAAAACAACTGAACCAGATAGCGTATGGATGGCTAACTCCCGTGAAAAAAAATTAAATTTAGTTCACCTTTCTGTAACACAAGACATCCATGTATTTTCTTTGTTTTATTTTGCGTAAATATACGCACGATAATATTCTAGCGATAGTGGAAGCTCCAATCTAAGTGAAACTGTCTCTGTTGTCCCCATAATCTTTATCTTTATTTCTATTGCTAGAGTGGTATTCATATCTATACTATAGTTTTAGGCTCCTTTAGTTGTATACCAGCAAAAGCATTATTCAGCACTGGTGTAGCAAGAAAGCTCAGTCGCTTAAGAGTGGCGTGGGAAGCGAAACAAATCGACGTGTATGACCCTGAAGTGAAGACGTACACCTTTAAAGTGAATGCAAACCGGAGGTGAAACAGATTTATAGTGAAGCAAATCACCCTAATAGTGAAGTCAAACACTTCTTAATTGAAGCCGTTTTCATGAAACAAAGGCACGCATCGTCAAAATTCTTGACAAGGAGTACCGTGGTCGACAAAAGGAAAATCAAAGAGACCATGTACTTCACACGTCAACCTCCGACTTTAATGAAAGTGTTGGGCTTAGAATGTCTCGCCTTTGTAACACGCCCTACAGCTGCTTCAAGTAATGTCGTACACCACGC